TTAGAAGTGATTTGCGAATTAATTGTTAATTTCATTATGATTTATATAATTTTTAGTAATATGTAATATATACATAAGTAAAGCCTATTCCTTTCTAGTTTCACTTATTGTTTTAAGCAAGATTTTCGACTTCAAAGAACTCATTCCCATTATTTTCAGCCAACTGCATCTACTTGACTCTAATATATCCTGCTTTTGGCCGCTATCCCTAATGCTTGGCAGCCTTTTTTGTTCATTTTTTTCCAGAATTGTAAACTTTCGCCGTCTTGTGGATTTTCTACGCATTAGCAAAAAAAGAAAAAAAAAAAAAACTTCCCGCATGCGAAAAGTTCATTGTGCCAATTGCTGAATGTGTTGACGGTTTCTTGTTCTAATTCCTGTTGTTATGCTATGCATAGTTGTTGTTGTTTTGTTATTGTTGCTGTTCTTGATGTTGTTGTTGTTGTAGCTTGACTTGCTGTCAGCTGGCACACGAAATGTGTCGTCAACAATGTGCAATTTTTGCCGCTGTTGTATGTGGCATTCCATTCACACTGGGCACGCTCACTGCCACGCCCACTGGCTGGGCTGAGACACTTTTATAAATTACTCACTTGGCTGTAGACCGCGACTGGCAGCGACAACAACAGCAGCAATAGAAAACGCTTAGAAAGTTGCATGTGTCAACTGCAAAGGCCGACATTTTGTTTACCCGCCACAAGTGTGTGTGTGTGTGTGTGTGTATGAGTGTATGTGTGTGTTTGTTTATTTTGCATTGTGCATACAGAAACTTTAGCTTTGAGCGAAATTTTAATGAGCACAGCGCGAAAAACCACGAAGCAACTTTTTTTTATTATATTCGCTATGCATTGTTTGCTATTTTAGTTGTGCTTGTCTATGTGTGCATGTGTGAGTGTGTGTGTGTATGTGTGTGAATGGAAATGCATTAAAGTGCAATTTTTGTATCCGGGCATGAGATTTAATGCTGCTGCWGCAGCAGACTCTGCCCCAAAGCAACTCTGGGGTGTCGGCCACATCCGTTTCCGTCGCGTCGTCCGCCATGTTGCGTCCGAGACGCCGCAGTTGGCAGGTGGCCCTGGTACAGCAGCTGCTTTACAGCTTCGCTCGTTCGCTTCATAAATCATAAAACTTTCGCCTCACGTCGCAGGCTCCCCCCTCTAGCGTCCTGCCAGCCAGCCTGCCACACAAGAAACTTGCAACAACCCAAGCTGCCAACTGACGCTAAGTGTTGAGTAAATGTTTTCGCGCCTCGTTGCGTTCACCGATTCCCCAACAACATTCTCCATTGCAGTGTTGTTGCTGTTGTTGTTGGTAATGCGGATGTGGTACGTGGTTGTCAGAGCTGCTTTGCTGCCTTGCCTCTGCTTTATGCATAGAGTTCAAACATCCATATTAGTATTACTATTAAAGGCCCATCGTACAAAAAACAACAAACCGCTAAAGATTAACTCCAACTGAATTTTTTATAAACTAATTGTCAGTAATATAGTCTCTCAATACATGTAAATTATATATAGAATATATAAATCATTTATATTTCATCTCTTCATGCTTTACTCATTCCTATCTCTTTCCCCCTCTCTCTTTCTCTCTCTCTCTCTCTCTCACTCACTTACCAGCCACGTCCTCTAAATTTATTGATGAATTAAAGTTCAGCTTTCTAATGTATTTGTAACGCAACCATTTTAACCTCAATTAATCCCATAAATTTGAATTGTGAATTACTTAATTAATTTGGTCATTTGCTGACAAATGATGCGAGAAGACATACATAATGTATGTCTAATATCGTCATCATTCTATCATCAATCTAGCTATTCTAAATGAACATAGGTTTTTCCGATGTGGCATTGGCGTCATGCAAGCTTAACACTTCAGCAAACATGATGTGGTTGAATGATTATAGATATATACGTCTATAATATATACATACGTATATTTGGAACTGATATCTGATTATACATATATACGTATGTATATAATATATACATACGTATATCTGAAACTCGTTATTATCAAAATGGTACACAATATACTTACTATCGGATCTATAGCTAACTTTCTTTAGTAAATGTCAAGAATCAAGTTATCCCTATATAAATTTCTGGCTTAGGTATTTAGTTATAAATTAGTGTATTTTTTCATTGGTATAACCATTAACTTTAATTTACTATCTATTATGTGCTTTAGAGACCCGTAAACTAATATTTAAGCAGAAAAGATTCAAATTAAACTATATATAATTAAAAT